TTTCACTATAAAGGCTTCAAGCTTACGATGTAAAACAAGCATGTTGGTTTGTATTTGTTTATGTGTGTGGTGATTTGTGTTTTAACAAGTTGAAACAAGGAATTGTTTTGAATTTTAAATATTCACTTTTCAACTTGTTAATTCATTTTCACCCAGTTTTCATATCGTTATTTATATTTGTTTTGTTATTACAATTATTTTTTCCGAAAGCTTGTCGTGTTTAGCTTGAGGAGTTTTGTTCGTTGTAAATATTGTAAGTACATTAAAATTTTATAGGAGTGTTATTTTTATAATTATTTTGTTGCTGTTTGGACTCATGTTTTGGTCCGGTAACTTGTAGAATATTGAGGTGATTTATCAAGTTTGATCATTTCGACTTGCAAATGCGTGGTAATGATTTTGTACACGTTCGAGGTATGTGTTTATCGCTTTCTATACTTAACATATTCATGATACTTAGACTTTTTACAATTTTTATGTCATTGATTCATTTGTATACTTGTTCGTTTGTGAATCACTTTAGTTCCCACCATTTTTGTGAGGTAACTTTCCATTGTTCACATATGTTGGAGGCCACAATTGTTGTTTTAACTGGATTTTATTATGTTTAATCATTTGTTTTGTGTTGATTGTATAAATTCAAGAAGAGGATCAAGGAATTTTTGTTTCATTTTGAGCACCACTACCTAGCAAAATAGTAAATTCACCTTGTGAGTGTGTGATCATTAGTAACATCTTTGAGCTTTTTGTTGATATTCATGTTGTTTTTACTAAATACTTGTCTATGAGTGTTTAGCTCACCTTTTTGCATGTATATTGATTCATTGTTTTCTTGAACCCTCAACCATTATTTTGGTTTGAGTTTTTACCTTGCCTTATAAAGTAGGGAGTATTTACTAAGATGTTGGTTGAATTCAAGTTGGGGAGAAAAATGGTTGTGTATTTATTGGTCGATTGTTATGAGGTTGAAAAGAAAAAGAAAAAGAAAGAAGAAAATTGTGAAATATAAGTGATAGAAAAACAAAGGAAAAAATAGAAAAGCTTTGGAAAAGGTAAAACAAAAAGAGTATGGAATAATGTTGTGTTAATAAGTGATGTGTGTTTTGTGTAACACTTGTGATGAAGAAAAATTGTTACTGAAATTATTTTGTTTGAAACTTTGTGGAAGTAATTACTCTCGTAGGTTAGGTAAGCTTTTATTTCGATTAGCTTTAGGAATTATCACTTGTTTGTTAACCAAGCCACATTACAATCTTGAAAAGCCCTTGAGATTCTTTCTCTTATATTTTCAATGTAAATTTTTGGATGAATGCACAATTTAGTCTATTATTTGCAAGATTGTTGAATGAGTGAAAATATCCCATTTTTGTGTGTTTTTCATCTACCGATGATTGTGTTTGTTAGGTGTGATTCATTTGTGAACTATTATTGTTTTAGAATGCTTGACATAATTTTTATATTTAGCATTTGTTTTGTATTTATGTTATTGTCATAGTTTAGTAGTAAGTGTTTACTTTGTGTGTACTGTTTTTCATTTGAACCAATGCATTTGTTTTCCGTTTTCAAAATCAGTTGATTCGTGATTATTTGATTTAAAATTCGTTGTTCTTTGGGTTATTAGACTTTATTTGAGGATAAACAATGATTCAAGTTGGGAAAAGTTTGATAAGTGCAAAAGTGTTGTTATTTTGTATATACTTTTTGTTGAACTTAACGATTCTTTTTTGTTAATATCGGTTGAATAACCCCGTTTTTTGTTGTAAATACGTTTAATTGCGTTTCGTGTACATATTATATCATTTGATTAGTTTTGTATATGTTTTGTAGGTATTTGAGCATGGTTGGAGCAATGAGGAATAAAAGCTCCAAAATGCATTTTTGGATCAATAAAGGAATAAAGTGAAAGATTTAAGACATTGAAAGTTATGCAAAAAAGCAACAGAAGTTGCTAGATTGTCATGGATCGCCGTGTGAAATTCCAGGAGGTGAATGTTACAGGTGACAAGAGGAGTGGTATTGAAAAGGTGACGTTCCAAAGAGGAAGTTTTTCTCCAAACTTTAACTATGATGACCAATCGTCTGCGTCTGACATTCTCAGATGCAACTTTCGCCTGTGGAATAACCACCTACCAATTTCGGGAGAGAAACGTTGGAAGGCAATTTCGAAACATGAGGTGGTAGCGGCGGATTCTAAGAAAGAATAAAAAATAAGAACAGAGGAAATAGAGAGAATTGATAGAATCAAAAAGGTAGAAGGGAAGGAGTTAAACAACCTGTGTCCTTGATTTATCGTTTTTCTATTTTGGAAGGGATTTTCGAGGGTTTGTTGTTTCTGTGGTAGGTAAGCAGTGTCGAGTCTAAATTTAGTCTTTATAATTTGTTTGGAAGGCTTTGTTGCTGGAAGGGGAGGGGTATTTTTAGGAGAATCTCCTAGTTCCTTTGTGATTTAGTTGGAGTGTTTTTTCTGAGTTTGAATACTTCTAATACTCTTTCAATAAATTTCTTAAATCTGAACTTTGAGAAAATGCTCTATGCACATAGAAAATGCTCTATCTAATATAGTTGGAAAAATGAGTCCAACCGGTCGGGAAATACCTGTTTTGCCTACACTTTTTTTTGTGAAGCATATTGAAAATTTAGGTCTACGCCCTTTTCTTGTTCCATCCTGTTTTTTTGCCAGCTTTTGTGGGCACAAACATTAACATGAAAAATTGAAATTTTTAGACTTAAAAATTACAATGCTCATGGGTCCGCTCCGCCTCACGCTTATTTTTTACGAGACAATACAAAACTTTAGGCCCACACTTTTACCAAAATCCCCTTTATTCCCTCCCATTTTTTACAGATTTTTGCTGGGCATGCATGCTTGTGTGCCACCCATACTACCTAGAGATCATGTTGATTATCTTTATTTATAACTAAGTTAAGAAGACACACATTCTCTCTCTGTTCTATATGTGCATAATGTCTTTATTTATTGTGGATCCATATGTTCGTGATATTATATGTGCAAAACTATGTTATCACTTTTCATTTTATTCCTTTAGATATAATCTCTGCTATTGATATGTACACTTGAGTGGATCTTCTTATAACAAGATTGAATAATAGATGCACTTGCTCTTTCATTAATTTTAGTTAACTTAGCCATTCAAATTCAGTTAATTTTATCAAGTGGAGTATAGAGGCTGGATCCGTGATGCCTCAAAACAAAGTCAAGAATATATTATCGGAGTAAATGAATTTCTTGAATTTTCTTTTCAAATGTCTGATGGCAACGAAAAAGTATTGTATCTTTGTATAAAATGTGTCAACTGTAAGTCACATTCTTGCTCTAAGTGTTTATGAACACTTATTTGATCTGTAATGTGAATTTCTTAGAGGTCATACCCAATGAATATTTCATGGTGAGAGACCCACAACTTCAAGTGGCACAACTAAACAACATTTTGAAATGGGAGATGACATGGATGGGTTAATTAATGATATTTTTACAATGCCTCCTTTAGAAGAGATATTTTCTGATGAAGATGAAAGGAATCAAGACATAGGAGAAGGTATTAAATTTTAGCAATTAGTGGAAGAGAACCAGCAAGCTTTATCTCCAAATTGTAATAAGTATAGAAACTATCTTTTATGGTGCATTTGCATCATTTAAATTGTCCTCATGATTCTCATTTAAACTGTAATGCTGAAGAAACTCATACTACCGCAACTCATATTTTATTATCATGACTAAAAAAAAAAAAACACGTGTGTTTATGAGCAAAGTATCTAAATTTTTATAAATAATTAATATTCTAATTATGTTACTAAATAGTTGTTCAACGATATTTGGTTTAAAATCAATGTTTTTGCCAAATTTTGCTTATCAATTCGTTGTTAAAGTCTCATTACTATTACTATACTATTATATATTACATTTTATTATTCGTGTGTTTTATACTTTGTTCCATTCTTGTTACTATTATTATACTATTATATTTGAATCCCTTTCTCCTATTTTTATGCTCACCAAATAAAAGAAGTGGAAAATTTATCTCCAACATTTCTCTTTGTTAATTTTCTTTTTACCATATATCTTAAACAAAATACGCCCTTAGAATATTATGAAAACAATTAGATTCAGTTTTAAATTTGTTTTATTTATTTATTTTTATTTTCTATAGATTATATATGCTTCTCCCATCTAAATAGATTCTCCTATCTATATACTAACGGAGATCAAATAGAAGAAAAATTAGAAGTTGATTTTGTGTTAGATAGGTCTTTTGTCATGTATTGTGTTATGGATTCTTTTTTGTTCTATTTGACTAATTTTGATGGCTGCTACTATCTAGTTGGATTTGGTGGTAAGTTGTGTAAGTTTATTACTTGCAAGGAATGTGATGCACATATTTATTTTGGTGGTTCTTAATTAGTTTTAAGATTTGTAATTTTATGACTAATTGAAGTAAAAAGTGGTTGTCATATTGTTTTTAAGTATGTATCAATTTTGTTATACTCTAAGCAATTTGGAAAAACATCAATTTTGAGATCTATGGATGTGACATTGATTTCATGTTTTATTATACTTTGTTAGTTTGTTATGTTTGTAAGAAGTGAAGTTCATTTTCTTGACTATATGTCCATGGCAGAGAAGATACACTAAAAAGTGAAGTTCATTTTCTTGATTACCATTATTATTTATATATGACTTTTCATTAAAAAGAAAAATTATGAATGATACTTGGTTTCTTAGACAAATCAATAGTATGAATATATGGTCATTAAGAAAAGTAGTATGGAGATATAAGTTTAAAAGGAGACTAAGTACTAACAACGATGATATAATATTTGATATATTACAAATGATAACACATTCACCATATTGACTAGAACCAAACTCGTCACCACTTATACAAAGATAATACATAACCTCAGCAGATTTTATTTAACGCCAAACATTATTCTTTATTGAAATTTATTTATTAGAATGTGCATCATGTATGATGGTATAATTAGTTACCATTGTCGGAAGCAGCACCGTGTCCACCATGACCACCACCACCATAGTAACCACCATGTCCACCATGATGACCACCACCACCATAGTAACCACCATGAAGACCAACACTATCATGGTAACCACCATGATGTCCACCACCGCCATAGTAACCACCATGATGACCACCGCCGCCGTAGTAACCACCGTGTCCATGACCATAACCTAATTTGGCATCATTCAGTTCAGTTGACTTTTCAACAACTTCTGCAAATACCACACTATGTGAATTTAAATCTTATATTAATTGTACATAATGATATGGATATCTAGTAGTATCATTAAGTAAGAAAGAAATCTCGAACATGATAATTATGTCTTAGTTATAAGGTGTTTATACAACTTCTAATCCTACCACTTAATATATGATGTGCTCTGAAAAAATATATACACTAAAATTAAGAAAAATAATGTATAGCTAGCTCACCCTCTTTGGTATTAGTGGAAGTCTCAGTTAAGTCCCTAGCTGACACCTCCGAAGAAATAAGAAGAACCATGGCCATTAGGCCAAGAATGAGCATTGCTTTTTTGGAATCCATTGAACTCAACTGAAGATCTATTGAAATGTGATATTTGGTAGTGAAGGATGAAAAAAATAGCAAGAAAGTGCTCTCTATATATAATGGGGGGAAGTAGTAATCAATACGGAATGTTTGCATGGTAGTTGAGATGGTAGCTTGTATGTATTAATCGATATAATCTTTAAAACTCTTAAAGATGAGAAAACGGTAGTGTTTTTGTCTTCTCGTTATTAGCAGAAAATGACATTTTACTTTCAATCGATTACGTACACAAAGAAATTTTTAAGTGGAAATACATATAAACTACTATTCAAATCACCTTAATAAAAACTAATTGCATGGCATTTTTGGCTAGTAATTTATAATATTTTTAGATGAAGGTATTTTTCTTTGTAAGAATTAAATTTGTTTTTAAGGAAAATATCCCTTGTTTAATTTTGATGATAAATATATGAGAATAATTTTGGTTACTCTAAAATGTTTTTAAGGGTGGATATCCTAATATGATCCAAGACAAAGGATGTATTGACTTAGGGATGACCTCGGGTTTATGTTTAACTAGTTCCAATATTTCTCTTCTCATCTTCGAAGTTTCTCTTTCTATTTAGCTCCCTAATGTCGAGTCTTCTACCCAATTGAGTGAATCTTGACCGATATTTCTGGTGAGCTTTTTATAAACTGTGGTTAAAGTTTTGGCAGATTAACTAGCTGATGTTATGGATAAGATAGTTTACTCCAATCAATTGGTATTTCTTAAAGGGAGACAACTATTGGGGTAGTTGTTTTGAATGGATTGGTGCACATGGCCAAGAAACAAAAAAATCATGTCTTATCATTACGCCAAAAAAACCTAAGAAAGCGCTTTTTTTGGCCTTTAAAAGCTCTTAAAAGCGCTTTCTAAGGTGGCGCTGCTATAGGTTTTAGCAGCGCTTTTTGTTTAATGAAAAGCGCTTTCGTAGGTCTACCTATGGCAGCGCTTTTTCTAAAAAGCGTTCTCTTAAGTACCCTTTTGGCAGTGCTTTTTCTAAAAAGCACTCTCTTAAGTACCCTTTTGGCAGCGCTTTTTCTAAAAAGCACTCTCTTAAGTAGGCTTTTGGCAGCGCTTTTTTATGAAGAAGCGCTTTCATTGGTGGCGCTTTTTTCTGGAAAAGATATTTCATAGGTTGTCTTTTAGCAGCGCTTTTGCCTGTAAAAACACTGTCATATGTTTACCTAAGACAACGCTTTATGGGAAAAAGCGCTTTCATAAGTCTACCTAAGGCAGCGTTTTTCTTCAAAAAGCGCTTTCATAGGGTGTTTTTTTTAGAGGTATAATTTATATAATTCATATACCTGCATTGTTTGCAGCATATTATTTATATAAATCAGTTGCCATAACCTGTAATTCATAAACCGTAGTAATGCATTGTATACCATTGTAATCCAAAATATATATACACCATTTTTGTACCTCAAAATATATATAAACCATTGTTATCAGCATTGTAACTCAAAATCAGTCTTACAAAATCAACCCTAACAACAACTAAACCAGTCCTTATATGATTCTTTTCTCAATAAAATATTGACACAATTCCTCTTTGATTTCTTCCAACTGAAGTTTCCTGTAATATGCACATTTGTACTCATCGAAGTACTACATAACAAAACATAATATGCATGATTTAGTTAAAAGTAAAAAATTATATGAAATATCCGAGAAATAATAAAACAAATCCTAAGTTATAAATCCATACCGTGACTGGAATCTCTATTTGATTCAGTTGAATGATTTCTTTGATAAACCGCATAACGAAGTATCCGCAATCTATACCGTTTTGCTGTCGAGGACACTACATATAAAAACAAATAAGAATATATAGTTGTATTGTTTTATCAAATAGCATAAATATTATAAGCAAAATAGTGGAAATTAATATACCTGCACTTTGATCCAATTAATGTTGTTTGATTTAGACCTTCGTACCCGAGCTTCTCTTTGACACCGGAATACTTGTATCGCTCTAACAAAATAAAAATATATATTTAGAACAATGTCACAGAAATAATTAAATATATAAACACACACAAATATTTAGAATAATCTCACTTACGTATCAATCATTAACTTCATATCCGAATAATTTGTCCAATCACCGTCAACCAAATTCAGATAATAGACCACTTCTTTTATAGGATCGATAGCAACCAACAACCAGTGACGTCTATAAATTAAAGCAACAATTTAGAAGAAAATTTTCTACGCAAAAATTACAAATATTAAAATAAACTTAGAATGAAAATCTATCCCTGTAGGAATAGTATTATACGCCCAAAGATATAAGCTTTTTGTACTGCCAGTTGCCATGAATCTTTCGACTAAGTGCTCTCTTACTGATTCCGGTTCCCTACCAATTGTCGCTCCGCTGACACGGGAGGAAGACACGAAATGGAATCTGTTTGACAATTGATTCCCGCGCATCAATTTGTCATATAACAGCCTTAAATAAAAACATAATTAATATTAGACTATATTCATTGAAATGTTTAAAAAAGATTTCAGCTAATTACATAATATAAAGATGGGGGTTACCGGATGTATGCGTGCATAATACTGACGCCCAATTCTTTATGACGGAAAATCTGTTCCACGTCCTCATGTCCAATTATTTTGGTGCAAGGAAAACCAAAGATACCTTGATCCATATCCATTTGACGAATACCACCATCCATCAAATCTGTTGTTCCCACTATTGTTTCCAGACACTGCCGTTATCGAGGGAAAAATCTAGTAGGCACCCTTTTCTTGGGTGGTACGCCAACGATCTTCTGGCTCACTTGTTGTGACCCTTGAAAAGGTACCTAAAAATCATATAGACTCAGTTAAATTATAAAATTATGCAGTTTTTTATTCGGATCATATAATTAACACTTTAAACGTACCTCTTTTTGTGATACATCAGACTCGTCGTGCCGCAAAATCCCTTTACCCTTAGATGCGGGTGTTGTAGGAGTCTATAATTACCGTGGAAATAACTGAGGTCAGAACTGAAAGTTGAATACTTAAAGATTCATAATTGTTTTAAACATACCTGATCATCTATGAAAATGAGGTTCGATGGCCATGCAACAAAAGATCCTATTGCATCTCGCAGCAATGTGGTCTCAGCAACAATGTCGGGTACCGACAACAATGCATCCATATCTAAAGCAATGTCAACCGATACTTTCATGTGTCCATCCGGAAGCGGTCTATGGTGAAGTAAATCTCCCGAAGTGTTATGGACTTTTCCCTTGCCAACTAGTCGATAAGTCGGCGAGGATAGGTATAGCTGGCAAGGTGAAATGCCCTAAACCAATAATAACCGTTAGAAGTGACTAAAAATATTCTATAATAATAACGGATATATATTAAAAATTACCTCGGGAAATTTATGCTGACAGTTGATACTAGCTTTGTCACTAGTTTCTTTCAATTGTGAACTGCTCTTTTCCGCCATATATCTCTCTTTATCCTTCTGCAATTCACGGACTTGAGCTTGTAAATCCTGCAATGTTTGCATCACTTCTGCATTGCTAGGATTTCTTCTTCTTGGATGCTTATACAAAGAGGTTGGAGTCACACCATGACCTTTACCCCTCACCCGACCCGGATACTCAGCAATATTTAATGCTCGACTAAGTACGCTCCTAGTATCCTGATGGTCCTCACCTGGGGATACCGATTGCGACAAGGTCTCCTGTAATTCATTTACATGTCGAAAATTATTAGTGGAGATCAAAAATTATTTAAATATTAATAAACCTTAATTGATTTAACTAAAGACACAATCTTATACTTACACATTCATCATACACATGTTGAATATCGGGATTAACAACTTGATCCTTGCCCACACGGGCTTCCTTCCACAACAAATGTGTCGGTAGTGATGTTGCGTCATTTTTCGTCTCTTCTAACTACGCATTGACACAAGTCTTAAGATCATCAATTATAACACATTGAGAGAATTAATAAGATCGTAGAGTTTATTTTTACTTACAATTTTTTCCTCTAAGCGAGCATATCCCAAACGCCCTTTTTTGTATGGATATGCGGGTTTTGACGCTCTCTCGCGATTGATAGCAATCACTTTCTTGAAATTCTCGTCTCTTATTTGGCCTACAAAACCAACCCATTCTTCAGGTGTAATGAAGTTCTCATATTTCTTTGGACGTTCCGGATCCTCTTCAAGAAAATTTCCTTCATCATCTTTAAGATACTTGTTTGTTAAAAATGTTCTCCACCCTCTGTGTCTTTTTCCAGCCAAACCCATTATATACTTTTTACGGGTATCTTCAATGTTAAAAGACCTCTACAAAAAAACATACGCATAAAGTGTGTTAGTAAAAGAAATTTAAACACATATTATCGTCAAGATAAAGCAAATAACAAAAACCATATATGTACCTTTATCTCAGTCCAAACTTTCTCCTTAGCCTCATCCAACTCTCCTCTTTTCCATCTAGGAGTGGTGATCGGAATGTGTATATGAACAAGCGTACCAATATAGCTTGTCAACTTTGCAGCATTAGACCCAATTAGTTGGTCATTATCATTCCAATCTACATTATATGTTACTCCTCTATCTCTATCACGGATGATTCCCCTCATAATAGTTATACCTCGTGTAATATCTTTTTCTGAAGTATTTTCTGGATTATTTTCAGGAGCATTTTCAGGAGCATTTGCATCTTTTGAGTTTTCCTGATTACTAGCCATTTGACCTGTAATAATGAAAAAAATATAAAAACGAAATGACAAATATAAGAATGAAATGGCAAATAAAAATGAAATGACAAATAAAAATGAAATGACAAATAAAAATGAAATGACAAATATAAAAATGAAATGACAAATAAAAATGAAATGACAAATAAAAATGAAATGACAAATTAAATTTTATTGAATGATATAGGCTATAATTATATATACTATTACCCTTTTCACTAAGGTCTCTTTCTTTTCTTGGTAGGAATGTGTTCTACTCGTCTCTTAA